CTGACAGGGGCAGGGTTGCTCTCTCATTGGAAAGTACATCCGTGTTAAAAACGCGTATTTACCGCGAGTGCCAAACGAATAGCTCCTCGAGTCGAATAGTAATTGACGTAGATACGCGCGTATACATTTTACTCTAGAAATTATTCTTTTGGTTCGTGCGTAGGACTATATCCCGAGCAGACATTCCCATAACATACCCCCATGTCCATTTCTTAGAGCTTGTCGCGCGCATCACTGGCTTTTCATGGTTAGGGTTTATATTTGACTGGAGTAGGAGGCAAAATTACGAGTAACTACTCCATAATACTCGTCTTTTACTCCGCATTTTCACAGCACAGGCCTAACATTGTGAGATACTGTCGATAAAAAATTTTCAAAAAAAAAAAAAAAAAAAAAAAAAAAAAAAAATTAACATGTCTCCTGCTCTGACACTACACTTCAGACTTTTTTCAGCATTTCTAGTAATTCAGGTGGTGCAATTGAAGGCGGGGGAGGGGGGGGGGAGAGAGCGGGGGAGAAAATTGAAGGTAGGATTAAGAATCCTTTTAAATGAATACTTGAGGACAAATCCAAACACACTCACCACTGCGAGAATATTCTTTGGTGCAATTACGTTGGAAATGCTGTTCAGAACTAATTGAATGTTAATATAGTATTATATATATTTGACCGTGTCGTTTTTTTTTTCTTCAAAGCGTGGCATTTTAATGGAGAAATCATGCTGCGGTGTAAATGAAATTACAAAAACAAAAGTTACAATACACTGTACAATGTAAGATACAATGTAAGATATAATGTTATCTGAGCCAGAATGACATTAAATACCATCTTATAACTAAAGTGAATCTGAAAAGGCGCTGACAACGTTACGGGCTGCGTAGAAACAAATAGGCCTACATCTTCAACATATTCAAACGAAAACTCTCTTGTACTTAGCAAAAACTTCGATAAAAAAGAATCAAAAAGGCTCGTTACTTACTTTTTGTGGAAATATTTGACTATTACGAAAAATGATAAAAAGGGTTACCTTAATTAGGATCTCCGAACATCTGTTGCTGTCGTCATATCTTTCTCACTCGCTGGTTTTCACCTCAGGCAAACGTTTTACGATGGCGAACTGAGAAATCAAAGAAGATTGTTGAGAGACTGTAGAAAATCGACCGCTCGGTTCTATAAATGCGTAGAAAATGATATCTCAAATAGAAGGATGGTTCGAATGGTTACGGATACCTCGGTAACGAGTGAACTAATCCGAAGCAGATTTCCCCCCAAGTTAACCTTTTCACATCCTTACAGCCTAAATTTGACGTGAATCCGACGGAAAAGCATCCGCTCCCTCTCTCTCATTCACTCCCACTATCTATCTCTCTTTTCTTGTTGTGTGTGTGTCTTTCTCTCTTCTCCGTTTTCTGCTCAAATGGCGGGGTTGTGTCTCGTTCAGTGTAACCCTGGAGCAAGAGGGCCGGCCGACCCCTCGCAGTTTTCCTGCCCGGTGACTGACTGACGTGTAGTTCCTGGCAAAATAACAACGAAAGGTGTTGATTCCCAATCAGAATTATCGACACGCTTTTCCGAAGCCCCTTTTACAACGAGCACTCCCCTCTCGGGGCATTATCAATATTTCCCCTTTGGAATTTCACCTGCTATCCAGAAATTGCAATAAAATCATTAACTGTTCCTTTTTAATTTCACCACTTTCGAAGAACCAAAGAAACGTTCATCTTTAATCGAAGAATCTGGTGCTAAAAGAAGCTGTATTGATAACAGGGTTATGAAAACAAAAAAATGACTTATTGGTAAATGTAACTGCGAGGCCCTGACTGTGGATAATTGCATGTTAACATAGATGTTATGAACCCATGTGAGAATAACATCAAAATGTTGCTTTTCTTGTTAAGAGATTCGTACGCACGCAAGGTTATCGTAATTTGTGATCTCTCTCTCTGAAAAGATCACGTCAAACGAAGCAAGGACAGATTTCAGAAGCGGTTATAGGTAGTGTTAATTAACTGAAAAGTGTAGTTTTACTCTTGCGGGAAATAGCGAAACTGGCAATAATATTTTTTTTCCGGTAAAGTAAAACAAGTCTCAGGAGAAAAGGTTTTCGATGCAACTGTAAATGAACTAAATAGGAGGGCTGGTCTTGAAATTATTTTACTGTTACTTTTATGATAACGACTGGAGAATTTTAGTGTCATGAAACGCTTTTAAGAAATAACTGTATGAATGATACTGTGGTGTTTTGTGCCCNAGAAAAATAAATAATGAACGAATAAATGAATACCTAAAACAAAAAAGAAGAAAAACATCTATTCATTATGTTATATTTTGGCTGAGTTATAGATATCCAGGATCAGAAAAGTTATTATAAACATAGACTGACGTTTGCCTACTCGAAAAATAGAAGGATGCAGACTCTTGACTGTTCACGAAATAGAAATATTTAAATGGCCAGTATAACGATCACCCGTTTGTTTTTACTCCTGCATAACAACCATCGACAAGGTTTAGTCTACCTTCTTCAAAGACTTCTCGCTCGCAACCCCTTGTTTATTGTGCTAAGCGAGTGCGCCACGGGGTCGAGATTATTTATGAACTTCCGAGATTATTTCCCCGTCCGAATTGTGTCTAATCAATATAGCACGTGTTTCTGGACAGTTAAGGGGCAGCTTCAAAAATATCATCAAGGTACTGGATAGTTGTTCCTTCAGGGCAAGGCTGTGTCTTTAATCCTTAATGCTTTTAGTGTATATGTTTGATTGAAATGTGTATGATAGATCCGTTGCTTGAAGATTATTTGTGCTTTTAAGTCCCCTCCCCTCTCATATAAAAGTACTGAAACAAAATTTGTTTGGAAAAAAATTAATGGCAAAACCCTAGGGTATGTCCAATAAATCTCATTTTGTTTTCAAAATAAAGTTCTTCGTCTCTTATGTCACATTTTTTTACTTCTCTAAATATTCAATTATAATGATGGAAGACTGAATTTTAATTCAATAAATAAGATGCTATGCTTTAAGTTAGTTTTAAGTCCCAATCAGTAATGTGTATTTTGTTACTAAAACCTTTCTTTTTAGTCAGGTCTAATCATCGGATATTTTCCAGCCTTCCTTTTTTCCTGAGCTTTTCGTCTTCTTGAAACCATCCTTAAAGCCAGACAATTTACATACGTGCATGCGCTTCCCTTTCTAGTAAATCATCTTTGACGAGGGCACTTCGCCGGGTGGAACAAAAACCTACAAATTAGACCTGTCAACCCGAGGGCCCCGAAGCAATGACGCACCATGGGTGTTTCACGCCGCACTGAGCGTATTTCCCTTCACGGTTTAGAGACGGTATTTACAAACGCCACGTTCACTTACAGGCGATGCTGACAGGGGTAGGGTTGCTCTTCCATTGGAAAGAACATCCGTGTTAAAAACGCGTATTTACCACGCGTGCCAAACGAATAGCTCCTCGAGTCGAATAGTAATTGACGTAGATACGCGCGTATAAATCTTACACTAGAAATTATTCATTCGATTCGTGTGTATATCCCAAGCAGACATACCCGTAACATACCCCCCCCCCCCCCCCCCCCATGCTCCCATCTCTTGAGAGC